CTTGACTTGGCAAACCGATTTTGCGCAATTTGATCCAACATAATAAATGCATCCGGTATTGATTGATTCATTAAGTTACCCCCGGTTGATGCATCTAAGACGGTTCTTGTATTCTCGTTAATTCCTTAGTAGAAGACGTGGATTTTCCGCCATTGCTCTACTCCATGGATTGGACATTGTTGCAAAAGAGTTTTAAATCTCTCACATACCTCGTATAATGGCTCCCCTTGATCTTGGACGAAATTATGAATTTCCCGTCGTATTCTCTCGTCCTTCTATAGTGAGCTGTAAACTTTCATGAAATGATTGAGGAGTTGAGGCCACGACGAAATAGAGTGGGGGGCTTGGGACATCAACCGCTGGCGAGATCTTCTTTGTAAGGAATGCTTGAAGAGAATTAATTGAAGCGCCTCTTCGGAAACGCCGTTTTGTCGATGGGAATTACATGTATCTAGAAAATTGACAATATGAAGATGGGGATCTTCACCTGCCAATCCACTAAATAGCCCGTTATTTTGGAGCATTGTCAAAGGGCCTTGTTTGATCTCAAAATTGTGCGCCTCAATAGGTGGATATTGGATGCTCGGACGGAATCCGTCAAGAGTCGGGATTATATAGTCCTGAAGAAGAATCAATAACGTAAAAGAACATACAGTGGCCAGTTTCATGAACTTAATAAAACAAGTAGAAAAAATAATTCATAAATCCCACATAGGGTTCGAAATAAAATTCAAGAAATAAAAAGAGTTAGCTACTCATGATTAAAGTAAAATCAAAATAATAATTCATGAAAAGATAAACTATGCTTGTAGTTTTCGAATTCTTCGTCTTCGTTATTGCTTCGTTGCTCTTGAAATTGTGTAAAAGATTGATACCCAATTGTGTGCTTGACTTGGTCTTATATAGGGTGGAAAACTTGGGGAAGAAGGTAGTTTCCTTGTGCAATCAGAATCCCTTTACTGCGCCTTTACATCTTCTCGGACGGTCGTCTATTTTTTACTAAAACTCGGACGGGCGTCTCAAAAGCAGAGATTGCCTCTGTTTCTCGGACGGCCATCTGAGATTTAGGTGTATTTCTCAGACGGCCGTCTCGGCTATAATTCTTCAGAATTTTGACTTCTTCACTTTTCGCTCATATTTTCTCCAAAATTGCAGTTTTGACCCCCTATTTATCCAATTCTTCAATTTGTACCTAAAATACAATAAATCAACATTTTAAGCATCAACTATCAATAAAACGCAATAAAAGCTCCAATTAAAGTATACGATTAAGTCTAAAAATATACACTTATCAGGTGTGCAGCTGCAAACCCTTAATTTAAAAACGAACTGTACTATTATACATAGGTTGACAGAAAAGGTTAGTGGTTGAGGTGGTAAAGAGTTTTTTCATACATTTATAGGTCCGGTTTCGGTACCTGCTCTTCGCAAATACTGACTTTTTTTTCATAATAGTCATTTTTCACCTTTTTTATCTTCCACAATTCTCCTAAATGAAAATCGTAAATTTTTGGTCTACTGTTTTTATAAAGTGATATTTAATTTTTTTATTCCGAATTTCGAACACCCTTGGTAAAAATCCTGGATTCGCCACTGGGTGGAGGTTATGATGATTCGTCGGGGTGGGGTTGCGAGAGAGTGGAGGACAGTATTCGCGGGGCATGTGGAGTGTTTTATGATTAAGAGAATGGCATCGACGGATTAAATCGGTGGCATGTGGCTGATGGAATTTTCGGCTGGGGACGGGTTTGGGAGGGTGGTGGGCGAAGGGAAGAAGATGACATTTTTTTTTTAAGATTAATTTATATTTAAGATATAGAATGTAAGTGACAGGACGAATACCCCTGCAAATCTCACGTGCAAGGCAAAACTCTTCACAGGTTGAAACTAAATTAAAGTTGGAATTTGAGAAAAAAAATTTGAAATGATATGAATTTCGGTTGTGTTATAGTATTATTTCATTTTCGCTGTTGTGTTTTAGATTTATAACTGCATAATTTTTTTCCCTTTTTTTTTCATGCGCTAAATAAGATCAAATAGAAGAAATAATCAAGGAATTTAAACTTGCATAATATTGGTAAAAGAGTTTTTTGTCTGGATCTCTTTATGAATAAGTACGCATTGATGAGCTTATTTGTAATGACCCCTAAATTTTATATAGTAATTTTTCATTTGCATTATCTTAATTTTTTAATATAAGTATCACCTACAAAAAGAAAATAATTTTTCTTTTATTTTCTTATTTTCAACAACAAAAATAAATATTTTAAGCAACAAAAATAAATATTTCAACTACAAAAGTATAAATTTGATATTCTTAATTTTTTTGATTAATTTACCGTGGGGAAAATATTTAGAAACTGTAGGTATAGTCTATATTTTAGAGACTCTCTATGATCTCCATTGGTGTTGATCTTTTTACCAAAACCTCTAAAATACGGAGACTTATTGAGTTTAGAGACTCTATTGGAGATGCCATAAGTTGACATATTTCAATTTTACGTGCAGTAATTATGAAAAATTAGTATTTTTAGTCCTAAATCACTCAAACTTTGAATTTTAGCCGTCGTTTAATGATGTACCTAACAAAATCGTAGAAATTTATTTATATATGGACACTTGAAAATTATAAATGCTCCTCTAATTTGATATAAAGACGAGTCTTTTCACATAATTAAAATTCTACAAAGTTAGATGTCGAATTCATAAATTTCCAAGCGTCCATATAAGTAAAATGCGTCAAGTGTATTTGTCGTGTCATAAAATTAAAAATCATGCAAAAGTAGAACTAAAAATACTATATTTGCAAAGTTATAGTATGTAAAACTGAAACACGACAAGTTAGAGGACTAAATTCCTAAATAGGCTAATCTATAGAACCAAAACTACAATTTTCCCTTTATGTTTTGATAGTTAGGGTTTAGATTTAGGGCAAATGGCAAAAAGGCCCATCACATGGGACTTAAATACATTTTGGTCCACAAAAAAACAGTCTCTCAATTAAGCCCATCCCCATGTCTTTAGCCTAAAATACCCTCAATAATATAATTCTTAACAATTCCACCCATTATGTTCTAACTTCCTTAATATTACACATTGACCCCGGATTTAAACAAATATATCACATTAACCCCCAAAACTTTTTTTTTTCAGAAAATAATTTTTTTTCTGAAATGTTTTTTTTCCGGCCAGATTCCGGCAGTAAATATAATTAAAATAATTTTTTTTGTAAGGAAAAAAATTAACAAAAAAAAAAAGTCAATTAACAGTTAAATTACTGTCTCCGACAGTTAAATAACTGCTGGAGACAGTAATTTAGCAACGATTACAATAATATTAATTAAAAATATTTTTTTAAGAATAAAAAAGTCAATTAACAGTTAAATAACTTAAATTACTGTCTCCGACAGTTAAATAACTGCTGGAGACAGTAATTTAGCAACGAATACAGTAATATTAATTAAAAATATTTTTTTTAAGAATAAAAAAGTCAATTAACAGTTAAATTACTGTCTCCGACAGTTAAATAACTGCTGGAGACAGTAATTTAGCAACGAATACAGTAATATTAATTAAAAATATTTTTTTTAAGAATAAAAAAAGTCAATTAACAGTTAAATTACTGTCTCCGACAGTTAAATAACTGCTGGAGACTGTAATTTAGCAACGAATACAGTAATATTAATTAAAATATTTTTGAAGAAAAAAAAAACAGTCAATTAACAGTTAAATTACTGTCTCCGACATTTAAATAGCTGCCGGAGACAGTAATTTAGCAGCCAAGACAGTAAAATTAATTAAAATATTTTTTTTTAAGAAAAAACAAAATTATTAAAAAAAAAAAAAGTCAACGGCCGTTGACCGGCCGGAAAAAAATTTCAGGAAAAAAAAAAAAAAAGTCAACGCCGGAATTTGGCCGGAAAAAAAATATTTCAGAAAAAAAATTTATTTTCTGAAAAAAAAAAGTTTTGGGGTTAATGTGATATATTTGTTTAAATCCGGGGTCAACGTGTAATATTTAAGAAGTTAGAGCATAATTGGTGGAATTGATAAGAATTAGGGTTAAAATTGGGGTCAAAATTGAAATTATGGTTAAAATTGGTTAATTGATGAAATTGGGCTAAATTGGGGTGTAAATCATGAAATTGGAGTTGAATTGGGTTTCAATGAATTGGGGGTAATTTTGGTATATATAAAAGGATTTTCCTTATTTGCAAATAAGTTTGAATGGGGTGGATTTATTTGAAAGACAAAAAAATTGATTGTCCCTCTTTTAATTAAGTGCCCTTGTCATTGGTTTTTTTGTGATTACCCCTTAGATTTAAGAAATTCACTAATTTGAGAAATTCCCAAATCCCACAGGCCAGCCACAAATCCATTTTCTATGTAATTAGTAAAGAAACTGTTTTTCTTTTCTCTGTTTATATAATAATTATTTTTCCATCGTTGTCAAAATCACGAAAGTAGACAAATACCTTTTTTTTTATATAATTAAACAAAAAAGTAATATATTTTATGAGAGCAAACTGCAAAAAGTACCTCTGTGTAATCTTCAAATAGCAAAAACTCTCGTGTGATAAATAAACTAGCAAAAGACCCCCTGTGAAATTTAGTCAAAGGCAAAAAAAACCCCAGTTGACTTAAGTGTGGCTCACTCGCGGGTTGCGCGACTGATAGTTGGTTTTTGGACCTGAAATGACGAAATTGACCCTAAAAATGTATTTATATGTATATATATTATATGTATATATATATTTCTTTTAATTTGATTGTTTAGAAATTAAAATATTGTTAAAAACTAGTAAATAATTTAATTTAAAAATTATTAAAAATTTGTTAATCAAATTAAGTATAGATTTTTTTAAATAAATAATAATGGAATTTAAGTTTTCTTTTGATGTAGCGATAATGTAAAATATATACAAAAATTATGTGATAATAAAAATAAATTAAAGACTCCATTGTACCTTTATAATTAAGATATAACAAAAATAAAATAATAAAAATATTAAAAAAATATAAGAATTTATTAATTGCAAAATCCCGGGGGTATTTGTGTCATTTTATATGAAGTCAACACTCAAATGAGAAATGGGCCGAGTGTGCGCTATTTAAATAATTTCACAGGGAGAGTTTTGCTAGTTTATTTATCATAGGGGAATTTTTGCTATTTAGAGATTATACAGGGGTACTTTTTGCAATTTACTCTATTTTATTAAGATTAAGTAGTCGACATTAAACAAAAGGAAACAACAGGGCAACATGTAAATATTTACTAATTATGGAGATTAAACAAATTAAGAGATAAACCTTCCTTATATGCATTTAATTCAACCACACAAGGAAACAAAATTCTGGATAAAAAGATAAGTTAATTAATTAATATAAACCTTAAATTAAACCGTGCAATTAAGGAAACTTATCCCATATTTTGCTTTGCATCCTTTTTTACATCAGAACCTGACTCTATAAATTGGCCTAACTAGAACACATGCATCCACACACCTAAAAATCGAACTTTCTCGATTCGTTCAAAAGAAATATAATTCGATCTTCAGTAATAATGGGAGCAAATACCAGCAGTTCTGTAAAGGAGGAACCAACGACTAGGGTTCTTTCGATTGATGGCGGTGGAGTTAAAGCCTTAATCCCACTCGTTATTCTTGCTAAACTCGAATCTCAGCTTCAGGTACGTACGCACACACACATACAGTACAATCTCGATAAAGGTTTAACTGTATTAATACACACACGTATTATTTTCATGATTCGTATAAAAAATTATAGCGGTTTTGACACTGAATATTATATATATTCTTCAGAAAATAGACGGTAAAGATGCGAGGATTGCAGATTATTTTGACGTAATTGCGGGTACAAACACAGGAGCACTAACTGCTGCAATGCTTACTACACCCAACGAAAATAATCGTCCGATGTTTACTGCACAAGAAATCATAGAATTTTACCTTGACAACTTCCCTAAAATATTCCCACAGGGGTAATTATTTTCTATTATTATAGTTATATATTATTATTAATAATTTTTTTTTTATTTTTTTTTTGTAGTTCTAATTTTGATTAATATTTTGTTTGTTTGGTCCAGAGATAATATTTTGAGCCGTGCTGCAAAGAAATATAAACAGTGGGTCGGGGAAATAAAATATAATGGCAAATATGTAAATTCAGTAATAAAAGAGAAACTTGGTGATACAAAACTGAATCAAACTCTCACAGATATTGTCATCACCACAGACCCCATCACATTCTCAACCAATCAGGTTTTTTTTAATTTTTTTTTTTTATAATTATTTTTCCTATTTATTTGTATTTATATTTAAGATATAAATTAATATTTATAAATTGTGATTTAGGTGGAGAATAAGGATGTTTCACTCTCAGACATCTGCATTGGAAGTTTAGCTTTTCCGACTTATTTGTCTCCGCATTCCTTCGTAACTAAAGATTCCGACGGCAATTCCAAACAATTCGACCTCATTGGCAGTCCAGTCGACAACCCGGTAAATATATATCCCCATCTTACACTCTCCGATAAAAAAAATAAACAAAATTCAATAACAAATACTAATTATTTTTCCGGGATTTTTTTTTTGCAGATATTAGCTGCAATGATGCAAATACGAAAGGAGAAGCGTAACTTTTCACCGTTCTTTTTGTCGGTGGGAAGTTGTTTGCCTAAATATAACATCAAGAAAGCAAGAAGTGGTTTCTTTACAAATACACAGTAATGAATGGTTCATCGACCGTTTGGCGTACAATCGGTCGACTTGCGTCATTTGTCACTGATTACGACAGTCTCTTTTATCTCCAAGACGCTCACGGTGTTGAAGAATCTCTTCAACGCTTTCTCTCTCAAGATAATTATCTTCGAATTCAGGTATTCTTTTTTTTTTTTTTTTGTTAATACATTTACAAAAATATCAAATTTTTTGATACATGTAATAAAAAAATTAAATGTATTTATTTTTCAGGACGATTCTTTAACCGGTGCAATGTGTTCAATGGACGTTGCGATGAAGAAGAATTTGAAGAATCTAGTGAAAGTCGGAGAAAATTTGTTGAAGAAACGAGTTTCGAGGCTAGATTCAAAAAGTAGAACTTATGTGCCAATTAGTGAGGAAACGAACGAGGAAGCACTGATTAAACTAGCAGCAACGCTTTCGTGGGAGAAGCGAATTCGAGATCCGGATTTTCTTGCGATAGCAACAATATAAACATAGGCATGCATACAAATTAATTGTGGGGAAATATCATTTTTTTTATCATTTAAGTACATAATTATTATAGGATTTTTTTAATCTCATTATATATTGTTTAATTTTTTTCTCTTGCTACAATAATATTGTCAGTTGTCACAATTCAAACATAATATATTATTTCTAAGTAATATATCAATGATTCCATCAAATATCTTGGTAACATTCTTCTGTTTTCTTTATATTAGATTTTACTATTTCCGATTTTCTTATATTAGGTTTTTTTTTAATCACATTCAAATTTTTTCATGTTCTATACATATCTGTTAATCTTAGTTTTCTTCATCAATAGTATTTATTGTAAGGTCCTTCAACTTTTGGACGAATAGCAGATTTGTTCTTAATTTTCAATCACGCAAAATTTTGAAGACCACCATTCGGTTGTGTTTAAATTAATTAAAAATAAAATATATATTAAATAATAGGGTAAATAGCACTTAACCCCATGTGGTTTGAACATTTTGCACATGACCCCCTTGTGGTATGAAATTATGCACATAACCCCCTTGTGGTTTTGACATTTTGCACACGACCCCCTTATGGTATGAAATTAGGCACATAACCCCCTTGTGGTTTTAACTTTTTTGCACATAACCCCCTTATGGTATGAAATTAGCACAAAACTCCCTTGAATAGTAAACTGGAAAAGACTAAATTATCCCTATCAATTGTTTTGATTTAAAAATAATTATTCTATAAAATGAAAATCTTAATGTATTTTTTTGTAAAATGAAAAATATAATATATTATTATGTTTTCTTAATTTTACAGCACATATTTTTTTTTTAATTTGATTTTTATTTCAACTTTGGAGAAATGTTTTTTTTTAGATTTTTTCAAAAGAATAAAAAAAAAAACTTTATTTATTAAAAAAAATTAAAGTTCAATAACAGCTATAATATAATATATTATGTAGAAAATAGTAATATAATAATCATAATAAATGATAATATTAAAGATTTCCAAATTGATTTCTAAAATTGAATAAACTTTAGGAGTAATTCAGACTTTTACAGTTTTCTGTTCAAGGGGGTTATGTGTTAATTTCATACCATAAGAGGGTAATGTGCAAAATTTCAACACCACAAGAGGGTTATGTGCCTAATTTCATACCATAAGGGGATCATGTGCAAAATGTCAAAATCACAAATGGGTTGTTTGCTTAATTTTATACCATAAGGGGATGATGTGCAAAATGTTCAAACCATGAGGGGGTTAAGTGCTATTTACCCTAAATAATAATATTTGAAATTCAAAAATTATAACTTTACACTTAAATCACATCAAAAGTAATAGTTAAAAAAGAAGAAAAAAAAAATACTAATCTTGTTTAAGCTTTAGCCTCCACCCACCACATAACATAATGTTTTACAGTTATTAATTATTCATCTCTACAAATGCTATGAAACAAATATAAATTTTATATACTCTACGAATCGGCCATTACATACATAATACATGTTCGTGTTCCTATTAACCCGGTTTATAAGATCACATTCAAATTGATTTGTAGCACATATACCAGCATTTTTTTTTAGAATACCATTATGCTTGTTTAGGGGTGCAAATTGGAACGGAAATTCCAATTTCCGCCTGTTCCGATGCGAAAAGTTCGATTTTGGAACAACTTTTTTCAACGACTTCCGAAATTCCGATTTCCAAATTTTTTTGGATTGGAATTGGAATTATATAAAATAAATTTGGAATTTTCGATTTCCGATCCGATTTAATTCCGAAAAAATCCGATTTTTTTCTTCTGAAAATACATCTATAAGTAATATATGTTATATAATACTTATTTTCCGAAAAATACACCCATAAGTTTTGGTTTTGGATTGTGACATAATGAATTATAGTTAGAAGTTTTATTCAATATTATGTTGCGTTTATTTTTATTAATTTTTTTGAATTGAAACTTAGTAGTTATTAGTTTTACATTTATCGATGCGGATGTTCTTATTTTTGAAAAAAATATGAACATTTTAGCAAAAAATCCGGCTAAGTTTTGAAATTTTAAAGCTTATGTGATTTCCAATTTTTTTCGGAAATTCCGAAATTTCCTGGCCTTTTGTAATTGGAATGAACTTTTAGATTCCGAAAATTTTGGAATTGGAATTGATTTTGTACTTTCGATTTTTTTTTGGAAATTTTCCGAAAAGACTAATTCCGATCTGATCCATCCGACTTTCACCCATATGGTTTATGTAATCTATTGTCAATAAATTTCGTGAAAAATGATATTTGAAATCGTATTTTATATCATATTGATGATGCTAATTATTTAGATCACCTGGGGTAGTGTAGAAAACGAACTGGGAGAGCAAAGCGGATCAGTAGCTTGACAACTTGATGATCCTGAGGTACCTGCGATCATAGAACACGTGAACTAGGCCGGGGGTTGATCCGGCGGAAACCCCTCCGACGCTCAAGTCAGACGTGTTGATAGTAGAAATAGTCCAGAGAATACGTATTGTAGTATTGCTCAGTTAATATGACGTACCTTAATGAATGAGTTCAAACCTTTATTTATAGCTTAGTTGAGATTGTCGGGCCCAAACCTTACTTGAAGGTGATTGGGCCTCGGTGATAATGGTCTTCGATATTGGGTTCGTGGCCCAGTATGTAAGGAAATTGTAGGCCCATTGGGTTGGCCCAATTAGGCATATCATTAAGCCCCCCACTCTCGAGTCAATGTGGGGGCCATGTTGAAATGGGTGACATATCGTGTCGAGAGTAAAAATATTAGTAGTCGATGGTGTGCGAAAACGCGTTGGAGCGTGTCTCGGAGGGGCGTGAAGGCGCGTTGGTGCGTAGTGTTGGGTGCTAAATACCAACACGCAAGTGTACGTATCGCAAACAAGTAGTAAAGTAGACTCGTGAGAGTCGGATGTCGATCCCACAGGGAATACGCAAATTATTTAATCCTAAGTACCAAATCCTAACAATTGTGATTTTTATCCAGCCTACGCAGGGTTGTCAAATTAATTAACTAAATAAATTAAACTAATTAAGAAAGCAAGTAATCACGAGAAAATATCAATAATAAACGGATCTAGGATTTTATCTTCCCCCTATGCGATAATTCTTCACCCGATTAATCTCCTATCATGCAAGTTACGATTCCCGATTATTAACCCAAGACACGAAATTATTCATAACCAGCTGTCGTTGCGCTATAAACCTATTATTCATAAAAGATTCACTATATGTCTATGCAAACCTAGTATAAATAAAGCATTAAATAACAAGTCTCGTAAACGGCTACCTAAGGTATTATCTGTATGTCTACGATAATACATGCAATCAACACACGCATTCGGTGAAAAACTACTCGAAGGCTCTTCTATCCCTGTTCTAATTATTAAAACGATCTGTCAATCAATTCTAACAATAACAAATAGCAACATAAATTAGCTACGTTCATGCGCTAAATAAGATCAAGATAGAAGAAATAATCGAAGAATTAAACTTGCATAAAAGTAGAAAAATAGGTTCGAATTACCACATAGGGTTCCAATAAAATCCTAGAATAAAAAACTTAGCTACTCATGTTCGTAACGAAAAGCATAATAAAAATACGAAAAATCATAAAAATCAGAAAAGAAAAGGAAAAAGGAAAACTAGGATGAAGATTCGTCAAGTCTTCGTCTTCGTTCTCTTGCTCCTCGATTGCGTGTAGAAAAGATGAAAGACTAAAAACTAATAATAAAGATAAAAGGTAAAAGATTAAAAGGTAGGTCTAATTGTGTGCTCTTGGCCTTTAAATAGGGTGCAAAAGTCTAATAGGGCGGGTTTCCTTGTGTAATTAAACTTCCTTCACTGCGCCCCTACGTCCATCCGGACGGCCGTGCGAGAATAGGCTTTAAAATCCGGACGGCCGTCCGGTCCTTGATTCTCTTGAATTCTGTTTTTTTCACTTTTGGCCCACTTTTTCTCCGAATTTGCAGTTTTCACCCCAAAAGTTGCCAATTCTTCAATTTGCACCTAAAATACAAATAATAACCAAATTAAGCACCAATTATCGTAAAAACACATCAAAAGCTCCAATTAAAAGGTACAATTAAGTGTATAAATATACACTTAACACACCCCCAAACTTGAACTTTTGCTTGTCCTCAAGTAAAATCAATGTAAGAACACAAAACACGACTATACATCTCATTACATAGATCGATTGGTCAACTTCGCGTTTTCAGAACTTGCAATTATGATGATAATTCCTAGGTATTCGCAAGCTTAACATTCAACGGCACTTAGTCACTCACTATTACCAAAAACCACAAATCATACAATTGCTTCAAGTATCCAATATTTGCAAGTTAAAGATAGAAATAATTTATACTTACATGCATATATTTGACTCCAAATACTCACCAAATTATTCTACTCAACTAATATTGAACAATAAGCTATTGGGATCATTGGGACTTTGTGGCTTTCAATTGTTAGGCTCTTTGGTCCGAGGTAGGTAATATGGGAATGTATGGCTAATTTTCTTGAATTGAGGTGATTACGCCAAAAATTGAAAGATAGGCGTTTGAAACAATGAATTCACCTCTAAGGACTTTAATAAACTCGATTCTCCAAAATTCACACGTCAACACTTTTGCCTTTGAGGCAATGACTCGTGTTTCAACACAATTCAACAACTAGTCCTTATTTCTCCCTTCTAATCTATTCTTCTTCCGCTTTTTTTTTTCTTTTCTCTTTTTTTTTTTTTTTTTCGAATCGAAGAATTTAGATATATATATGAAGATGCACATATATATCTATTATTATTATTTTTTTTTTTTTTCGAAAAAAAAGAAAGATCTTATAAGAATTTTTCGACCGACATCCAAGGGATAATTATTCAAAAATCTCCACTTTTCTACCTTCCACATATTGGCTATAAAAAAGAACACCTTTTCTCCGAGGCTCAAATCAAGGTTCTAAGGATAATTTGACAAAAATGGTGGGCTTGAAAGGCTCAAACGGTTCAAAGAAGGCCCAAATCATATCCCAAATCACTTACTATCAAC